CGGCGACCCGGCGACCCGGTGACCCGGCAACCCGGCGACCCGGCGACCCGGCGACCCGGCGATTCGCGGCCGCCGCCCCCGCCCTTGTCCAGATCGCTCTCAGACCGTTGCTTAATCCCCTGGCGAAAACAACGGGCGTGGCCCGGGGCGGTCACGTCACGATTTGCGCCGGCGCCGCCTGAGGCGCGCAGGGGGTCGGGGCTCAAGGGACGGCGGTCAGTGCAAACGGGGGTCGGCCAGAGCGCCGGATCTCTGCAGGAGCCTGCAGAGCCAGGGCTGCACTGACCCGGGCTAGCGTGCAGGATCCGGCAGGATCTTGCAGGATCTCGCAAGGCCTGACTGAGCCGTCGGCAGCGGTGGGTCGGCAGGCGACATCTTCTCGTGCTTTCCATTTCGAGGGGATGGTGCGTCGCATGAGGACGTCCAAGAGTGGAGGAGGGGAAGGAGGGAGCAGAAGGAGACGGAATGATGATGGAGTTAATGGAGATTTTTGAGGTATGAGAGGGGACGAGGAGGGATATGCTAGTGGGAGAAAGGAGGAGGGGAAAGGATTAAGAGGTGAGGACGAAGTGTAGTAGGAAGGGGAGGATGAGGAGGATGGAAAGGAATGTACCTGTGACGAAATATGTAGTTGTACGAGCATGGATGAGAATAACTATGGGGGGGAGAATGCGGAGGCGTTGCCAGGGCGAGCTGTGGCTTGGATTCAGCACAGTTGGTCGTTTTGGCCACGAATTGCCATTAATCTGCACGTCTGGCGCTGCAACAGGCGCCAACAGTCCGCTTCGCCAGCGCGCGCGCGCCCGGAGCGAGGAGGAGGAGCGAGGAGGGAGGAGGAGGAGGAGGAGGAGGAGGAGGAGGAGGAGGAGCAGGAGGGGATGATGTGAAGATGAGTAGGAGGAGGGATGAGCAGGAGGAGGAGGGGGAGGAGGAGGAGGAGGAGGAGGAGGAGGAGGAGGAAGAGGAGGAGGAAGAGGAGAAGAAAAAGAAGGAGAAGAATCAGAAAAAATGAAGGAGCGAGCAGGGAGCAGGGAGCAGGACGACGAGGCACGAAGACGAACAGGAAGGGACAGGATGAAGGAGGTCTTGGGGGAGGAATTGCCACTGGGAAAAGTCCTGCTCTCTATGTCTCACTAACGTCAGCAACACCTTCCATCTCCTCTTTGATCGTCATCGTAATCCTCATTATTATCGTATCCCGCTCGCAGTGTTCATTGTTGTGGTCCTCCTGTCCCCGTTGTGTTTTCTCTCCCTTGGTTCCTTCCTGTTTTCACCATTCCTCTTCCTACGTCCTCATCCTCCTCCTCCTCCTCCTTCCGTCCATCTATATTCCGCCTTCCTCCTCCTCCCCCTCCTCCTCCTCCTCTTCCTCCTCCTCCTCCCTCCTCCTCCTCCTCCTCCTCCTCCTCTTCCTCCTCCCGTCTCTCTTCCGCCTCCTCCTCCTCCTCTTCCCTGTCCTCCTCTTCCTCCTCCTCTTCCTCCTCCTCCTCCTCCTCCTCCTCCTCCTCCCTGTCCCCTCTCTCCTCACGACGACTCACACGGAAAAGCGTCAAGGAGTAGAAATCAAACGGGATTTATGTTTTCCGAGAGGGATGCTCTTCCATTGGGGATCACACCCAAAGACCCTCCCAGGACCCCCCCAGGACCACCCCAGGACCACCCCACCCCCGGCGGGAGGGGGACCAAAGGGAAGGGGTGTCCCTTCGACTCGGTGACGCCGTTCTTCGATCTCCCCGACAAGGTGCTTCACTGATGGGGGGAGGTCACAACCCTTGGGATCTCGCGATCCCCCCCCCCGGGCCCGAACACCCCTCCTCCCGCGGGGGAGGAATCAAAGGGAAGGGGGTCCCCTTCGACTCGATGACGACGTTCCCACAGAGGGGTGTTTCCCCGAGGCCCCTGGCCAGGGGGCGAGTCACAACCCCCATGGACCACCCCCGAGGACCCTCCCGGGACCACTCCCCAGGACCCCCCGGCGAACAACCCCTATCATGTCTTCTCTTCCTCCTCATCCTCCTCTTCCCCCTCCTCCTCCTCCTCCTCCTCCTCCTCCTCCTCCTCCTCCTCCTCCTCCTCCTCCTCCTCCTCCTCCTCCTCCTCTTGCCCTCCATCCACCCACCCTCCATCCACCCTCCGCCGCCTCCTCCTCTTCTTCCTCCATCCATCAGGGGCGGCCTAACCGTTCCTGACGTCCCCCTCGCCTCGCCCTAAGATGCATGAATGCGGCCGGAGGGGCTCGAACGGCGAGGATGACGTCACGGAAGGGGATGGTTTGCTTGGGGTCGGTTAGGCCGCGCCCGAATCCACCTTCCTCTTCCTCATCCTCCTCTTCCGCTTTTGTCTCCTCCCCTTCCTCCGCCTCCGCCTCCTCCTCCTCCTCCTCCTCCTCCTACTCCTCCTTTTTCCCTCCATCCACCCTCCATCCTCCTCCTCGTCCTCTTCCCCTCCCTCTCCCTCTCCTCTTCCTCTCTCGTTTCGCTCCCCCTCTGCCGCATTACCC